ACGGCCCACCCGTTTGAACTAATAAAGTGCCAGGGGCCTAAGTGGTCACCTCAATATTAAAAAAAAAAATAAAAAAAAAATAAAAATAATATAGAATAACAACCATTACCAATTTAACTTGAAGAATTAAAACAAAATTTATTCAAGACACTCTTCTCAAATAGATAGAGTTTCTAATTCATTCTTTATGACAAAGCCCAATGGGCCGGGCTTGGGCTTTTAAGAAAACCCGACCCGGCCCATGTTCTGGGCTTTTTTTTTTTCTGGGCTGGGCTTGGGCTCAAAAATATTTTCTGGGCCTGGTTTTAATTTTGAAAAGCCCGGCCCGGCCCGGCCCATGCCATACCCTACAACCATCTATTTGCGCCACAGATAATCACGTGCCGGTGAAAATTTTGGTGCACAGATTCTACAACGCGTATATTTTAACGTGTTTGCAGATCTCAAAACAATAGATGTTAATAAAAAAGGATCATTATTCTTTCACTTTGTGGTTTTTCGACTTTTAGTTTTCTTCTTTTACTTCTTGCATTTTATCATTTATTTTATCTTTTTTTACCACTTTAAATTTTTACACTGTGGACTTGATTAAGCTTTCGATGAGTATGGAGGTTTTCAATGACTTTCCCGCTAACGCATTCGAGCTTTTCGTGGCGGAAGGTACAACAAGAATGTTGAATTTATACCCGGGAATTCCTCTCGAAAATGTCAGAGAAACTTTGGTATATCAATGGAACCAGATGGATATTTATCAACGAGCACCTTGGATTAAAAGATCAGATGAAAATCGTGAAATTTACTCAAAAACTTTCATTGCCGAGGCCGAACAAGAAAATTCCGAATATGATAGCGATTGTAATTCAGAAGATATAAATGAATTAATTGAATCTTCAGATGGTGAAGAAACATCGGAAGAATCCATTATAAGTTTTCCTGATTTCGTTCATTCAAGTGTTGATTACAAGCAAAGTCCCGTTAAATCATCGCAAAATGTATTCGTTCAAAGTCGCCCAGTACTTGCACCCATACCTTCATGGCCCAGACCACCTGCTCCAGCGTTCCTTCATTTTTCTGAATATATGAGGCCTAGAATTACTGCAGAGAATCCATTTCACAATTATGGCTCTATCACGAAGTTAATTCGTGAGCGATGGGAGTCAATGACCATCGAGGAACGCGCACCATGGGGACATTTGGCTCAACAAGATGAAATTAGGTTCGAAAATGAAAAGTTGGCATACATTGCAGAACAAGAACAATTTGATAATCAATCATACAATTCATACAATAATAATCAATTTTCAAATTTTGAGAACGTATTTGATTTTCGATCTATTAAAGTTGAAGCTCCGATAGTCGATCCAGTATTGTTAAATATGGATCAATCCATTCACAAAGCTAGCTTTCCTAATTCAAACAAAGAAAATGGGTTCAAACAAGAAATTGTTATCAAACAAGAAAGTGCTGTCAAACAAGAAAATGTTGTCAAACAAGAAGACATTATCAAACAAGAAAATTTTATCAAACAAGAAAGTAATTCACGAACGTCATTTGGCTTCCGAAATATTCCTACTGAGACACAATTTTGGGTTCAATCTAACGACAAAGAAAATATTCCAATAGAATATTATGAAAATAATTATCGTCGATCACCATTACAACCACTTAATTTCAATCAAATACATAGCACTTATAATGAAATCGCCAATGTACCATCAAAGACTTATAAACCTGATGATCGTCGATATGGTCTCAAAGTTCCAATCTTATATAAGTCAGCTTACGAAATTTTTTATACTGAGGTTAAGGCTGATTGTATGAATAAATATCCTTCACTAATTACTGAATCTCATCTTAATAAATGTATCGATGATAAATGGAAGACAATGGATACTGACGAACGAAAGCCTTGGGAAGAAAAGGCAGAATTAGATAAATTTAGGTGGGAGAGTGAAAGGAAAGAATATCTATCTGATCAATTAAGGCGTTTTGTCGAATCTCAACGTGGAGTTCTGTTGAATGATTGGGTCAAAAATAATACTCATTAATTTGTAAAAAATGTTTCATTATTATTCATTCTTCGTATCGAGTTTTTATTATTTTATACTATATGAGATTCTTTACTATTGGTTTAAGAAAGATCGATTATTAAAGTAAAACTCGAATTAATCATTTGCTTCTTGATATTTTACATAATTCCTTTTGTTCTTTTGCGTAAATGTTAAAAGTCTACTCTATATAAAGTGAATAGAAAAGACTTACAGGTATGCACAAATTGAATTTACTAGAACTAATACAATAAAATAAAATAATAATTCCAAATGTCTAATATTATACAATCTTAAAATCTAAGTTAACAGTCTATAATGAATTCGTACAATAACGCTAATATGATTTAATGGCTATTTACTTGAAAAAATCATTCTTCCCGTAACCAATAATGATTTAAGACATCATCTATTGATGGACGCTTATCTACATCGCGGTCAAGCATTTTTTTAACAAGATCAATTGATCCATCAGATAATATATAAGGAATTCTAAGATCTCTGGCAATAATTTCATCAATATTATAGAATGGGTTTTCCTTATAAATAAGAGTATATAACAAAATACCCAAAGCCCAAATATCTTGTGGTGGACCATCATATTTCTTTCCAGTCAAGACCTATGAAAGAGTAAATAAATGCATTAAAATTTTAATTAAATAATTTAAATTTAAAAATACAAACAAATCAAATTTCGAATAAACTTACTTCAGGCGCTGCATAGTCAATAGTCCCACAAAAAGTATCATACTTTCTACCAGCTTTGATATATGCGCTAGATCCAAAATCAATCAATTGAACATTTCCATTTTCGTCGAGTATCACATTCTCGTCCTTAATATCCCGATGTACAATATTTCTCTGATGTAAATGCTGTATAGCACGTGCAACTTGACGGAAAATAAGTTTTATCTCGTCTTCAGCCATTGTAGTATTCAGTTCTATATAATCAAAAAGATCCATGCCGGCACCATGTAAACCCATTTCTATATAATAATAGTCCTCATCTTCAAAAAAGTCCACTACATGTAAAGAAATATATGTAAGATAAAATATATATATAAATGCATTCCATTAAATATCAATAGTATTGAAAAATTAACTTTTACAATAGGTACTTACCCATTTGTACAATGTTTGGATGAGGATATCGTCTTAGCGTATGAAGGATATGAATCTCTAACGGGATAGTACCAAGTACTTTGTCACGAGTCCAACAATCTACGAGTATCCGTGACTTCACGATATATTTGAGTACTACTCTTTTCTGAAATAAAAAAAATATATAATTATTCATATGTACATATGTATCAACATATCACGATCATAAATAAACAACTAATACCTTTTCAAGATCATTTTTATCATAAGCCAACTTGACTTGACCATAAGCTCCTTGACCTAAATTATCTAATATTTCAAAATCATCAATTGTTTTTCCTAATGTTATTGCTGAATATGTCATTGGATCGAAAGGCTCAGGCGCAGGAGACATCACAGGAGGCGTAATTATTTGTCGATCAGATGAATGACCTGTTGATAAAGGAGGTCTGCCTCCCACCGCTATAAATTTAGATATATGAAAGTTTTCCTTTTCTTCTTGGGTTTTCTCGTCTGCTAAATGCTTACTAGTCTCGAGCCTCTCAACATGATTTTCAAAATTATCAAAATAGGATTGCTCTTTTGCAAAATTAGCACTACGATCATAAGTAATCCACAATGCATGCAATGGCTCATCAGGAGATTCAACAACACGCATTTGAATGTCCACGTCAAATTCCGTACCATCCCTGTGAACTGCTATTATGCCAGAAGGTTCCTGAATAGATAACGTGGTAGATGAAAAGTCTTTTGTATGAGAATATAGGGACTTATTTTTAGATGTAGTAGATATTGACGCAGCAGCACGTCGAAAAGCATTTTCGGAAATTAAAACTCCTTCAACAAGAGATCTTTCGGACGTAAGGATATCCATAAGGCGAGGAAATTGAGGTAAAAGTGATTCAATATAGCGCTTTCCGATTAACTCTTGAGATCCAACACCAAATAGGTATTTAACAAATACGGAATTGCATGACTGGATGATGCCAGTTGCATGTGCAGTTATAACTCCGGCAATAGTAGGCATAGATATAATTTTAAGTCGATAAATGGTGGTTCCTTGATCGTGCGTTTCTTCCTGAATTGATGATGTCGATATTTTTCCGATTATTGGGAATTTTGCACAATTTTTTGATCGACTTCCATAATATTTAGTTTTATTTATTTGTTCAATGTCTAATCGTATATCAGGTAAACTTGAATTATCAATATCCATATTATTCTTATTATTCTCAATTGACGGGATGACTTCCAATGCAGGGATTAAAGTGGTCACGCACATTCCTACAATTTCTTCAGGAGTGTAACCATATAAAGCTTTTACATCACCAGACGAATTATGTATTATACCCTAATTGATTATTAAATTCATTATGAAATTATTAAAAAAAAAAAATTTTATAATGAAAAAAATTCATGTAATAAACTAATTATGATATGATACCTTCTCATCTATTTCAGCTGTCATCATGGATTCAACAATCTCTTCAAATATCCAAATAAAAATAGAATTTCCTACATCATCCTTTTTTGCCTTTAACCATAATGAAGCTGCAGATGTTTCATCATTTTTTCTTTGTATCGGAATCTATAAAATTAAGTACCATAAAATATTTTATTATTAAAAAATTATCTAATTCACTTTTCATGTGTTAATGAGTTGAAATAATACGTACTACTTTACCACAAGCCAACACAGCTTCACAACTATCATGATCATTTTGAGGTCTTAATGCAAGAGATTTTTCTTGCTTTTCTCTATAAGGGCTGGCAATCAGGTCAAATGCCTTTATGGAAGATATTTCAGCTCTTGAGTAACTGAATATCAAGCAAGCAATGTCATTGGCATTTAATATATTTCCTTGATGATCTGTGGTAATAATAGCTTGATTTTGTGGCGTGAATCTTGTAGGTGAGTGTAAAGTAGATGGTGGATTATTGTATAATGGAATATCTGATAATGAACCTAATGTTATTTTAGGCTTTCGAGAAAGACGCGAATCATTAACACCGGTTTCTTCTTGAGGAAGAACAATATCCGTAGAAGTACCAGTTGCAGGTTCTACTAATGAAAGTAGAACTTGATGTACATCTAAAAATTTCCATCCTTTTATTTTGCTTTTCATGAAATCAATAGAACGACGAAGAATGTTCTGCCTATTTTCGTACATTGATACATCATTTGAAACAAAATTATAACTATGTAGAGATTCTGTTGAAAATCGGGCAATTTCAAGATGATTAATCATCTTTGAGTTACTAGCATCTTTTGATGATGATCTATCCTCCCGCAACCTCCGTAGACGGTTTGGCATGGAAGTAGCATTATTTATCAATTCTTGATCGTGATCTCTAATAAAATGAATAATAATACGAAAAGAACCAAAAAAAAAAGGTTATAAAAAATAGATCAGAATAAAAACTTTAAAATATCTCGAAAACAATTTAGATACCGGTGAAATGAAAAAGTTTTAAGGATATTATGATTGGGTATTATTATAAATAATTGGTAGTATCCAAATTGGAAGTATCTATGTTTTCAAACTCTAACAATTACTTAGCCCACCTTAACATAGAGGAGCTTTAAGTAATGATATCACAAGACACTCACTGGAGGTATTCGTCGAGATCCTTAGATTCATTATTACGTATATACTTTTCAGTTTGGTAAGGTGGTTCTGAAGATGAAAAAAAATGAGAATAGAAACTTGATAAGATAACAGATGGAGGCACTAAAAGTACCTGTGACTTGAGTCATTCTTTGTCAATAGAGTGGATCTTGTTGATAAATAAAAATTCTATAAAGTTGGGAATATAAACGGGTGTGTTCTAGGGATTAATAGTTTGATAAGAAAATATAACTTTGTATCAACTTTGATAACAAATAAATAGAATCGACGTTTGTAGAAATGTTATGTTACAAAAAATGAGAGAGTAAAAAAAAAAACGTCGAAAAAAGTTTATAAAAAGAACGGGCGACTACAATAACAGCTGACCTACACTTATGCATAAAAATATATACTATCTGCAGCATAATAGCAATAAAAATTATGATAATTCGAATCGGATCATTTTTTCCGATGCAACGTTTGAAACTGCTGCATCTTATGAGTAGATCATCTGATCAATAAATAATTCCACGTTTTATCTTTCAATGATTACCGGTAACGCCAGGGATAAAAGCTATTCCTGTATTCCTAGATTTGTCCACAACGTCACCCATATTATTTTAAGGACTTTGTTAATATTGCCTGGTATGGACAACTAAAACATCAGCTGCACGAGCACTAAAAAAATGTAGTTATTTTTTTAGACGTTTCACGTTTCCCCTGGTTTAACACTGGCTGGATCAGGAAATAATAAATCACCAAAATGAAGTAGAATGAGCACAATAAGCACTTTCCAATATTTAACCGATCAGAGGTTTTTTATACCAAATTCAACCTCTTCGATATTTGATAGATAATCTACAGGAATTTACCGAAAAAAATTATATATATTAGATATCTATATATAAATATATATTTTAAATTTAACAGGTAATACAAAATCAATCTAAAAAATTGTGCAAGATATCTAATCAGCATCACAAAAATAATTGCTTTCAATAAATAATTTTAACTAAAAATGGATTTAAAAAATATCTTTCTATAATTATATTATTTAAGACCTAAAGAATATAGATATATAAAGTTTTTTTAAAAAAAATCTTTTTATTGAAAAGTTATTTTAATTAAAAATTTTTTTAATTTTACAATAAATTTTAAAAAATTTAGCGCTTTATTTTTACTAATAAAAAGTTAAAAATTCAGCATTTGTATTATATATACGTATATTTTAAAAATAAATATATATATAATATATATATATATAATATATTTCAAATTTTAGCGCTGTGGTGTGACTAGATGCCCTGCACCATATACAGTAATAAAAATTTCAAATTATACTCTTTTTTTAGCAAAAATAACGTCGGTACTTTTCCTGATGGAAAAGTCCGACTCGACTTCGAGTCAGACTTGGGGCAATCTGTCATGTGAAATTTGTAATATCGTATGATATTACCAATGGCATTCGGTCTAATAAATACAGTACTACAGTACAAAACTTGAGTACTAGCGTTCGGGGCATGAGGTCGAAGGGCAATCTTCCCCAGCATCGCCACCAATTTTTTTCGATCACGTGATCGTACAAAAATCGTTAAGTTCGTTTAGATTAGGGTTAGGGTCTGTGCTAAGGTTAGGGTTTATGTGTTTTTAATAGCAAAATCGCTCAAGAAAAACTTTTTGTTAATGCACAGAAGGTGATTTCTTATGTAAATTTTTGAGTTAGAGGAGAATTTTTGAAAACGAACGTTTGTTTCGGATCTTCCTGATTGTGTTACGTTACACCAAGGCGTGATTTATTATTGGATAGTTTCACGTGATCGAAAAATTTTATTAGTATTTTGGTGGCGATCCAGGGGAAGTTTCGAAGGGCATGCCTTGTCATGTGACATATAAAGTGTATTTAATAAAGTCAGGTAAAAACTAAATTTAATCGCATAATGGGCATGCAGGAGGGTATGCCTCATGCTCATAGGGCATGCCTAGAATGGTGTCACAAATTTCACATGACAGATTTTGTATCTAGTCTGACTCATCCCTACTGATGGAGTGAAAAAAAAATCAATTTACGTACCGTTCCTGATAGGGTTCGAAAAAACCATACTATTATTACTGTTCAATCCGATTGTAAGAAAAATATGTGGCATAAAATTCAGAAAAAAAAAAACAAATCGGAAATTTGCACAGTTCTTTCAGAATCCTTATTACTGTACAGCTGTTTTCATTAACGAGAAAATGTGTGCTATGTAAACAATCAGACCAATTACAAATTTTCTTGCCTAATATAAAAACTTCAGTTGGCCAATCTAATCATGAGATAATTATGCAAATAAGTTTTTTGATACTAATTGAATACACTATAAAGTAAACTCTTTGTATTGAATTATTAGTCATCTGATAAAAAATTGACCGAATGACTGTTTGACCGTAGGGTTTATTATTAATCGTTAACTCCATTTTAATAGCGATAGTAATCTTCTGGAGTATTACTACGTATCAAAATGGGATCACTGGAGTACTCCATTAACAACCCTATCTGGCCGGTAATGAGCGATTACGTAATGTGCACATCTTGCTATCTTGCTAATGACAGTAATGTCATAATAGATTCAGTTGCTATTACTTCAGACAAGTTGAATATTTCAAATTCAATTGTAGTTATTTCTGATAATCTATAGACGAACAAGCTAAGTTCCTTAGTTGTTAGATCAACCGTTTCAATATTTTCATCTGATTTGCTTTTTGGTCTATATTTTGTTATAATTATTATACTACATAAATAAACTACTTTTTAGAACGTATTACATAAATAAATTACTTTTATAGATTTTTACTATGATATTGTTGATTATAATTTTCGACAAATACGTTTTAATAAAACTTGTTTGAAATTATAACTTTGAGTCATACTTTTTTAGTCCATCAATAAATTCCTGTTCATATCGAACTTAACTCCTCCTCGTGTAATACATTTATTGTTAAATTTTCGTACAGACTAAGCACACCAAATATACTGGACATGCATTCAAGCGAAATTTAATTTGGATGTGTTGATATTGTAGTATCTTTCAGAATACATTCGCAAAAAATATACAGTATATCACTATCATTATTTATGTATCATGCCAAATCAAAAGTTTATCACTGTCGAATCATTCGGTCAATTTTTTACCAGATGTCCCAAAATTACTGCTGTTCTCATAAATTCTGGGACAATTGAAAAATTTTCTGTGTCCGAATCGATTCGATAAGTTTCTGAATTCGGCCGAAATCGGTTACTTATTGAGAAAATTTTTGGTTGTTCCAGAATTCATGAAATGTAGAACTGCCCATCAGAAACAGTATCTTTGCCTTTTGTTAAATAAATACGTAAAATACAGTAATACGTATAAAAAAATATTTTTACGTACGTACGTATTTGCATATATAGTATAATAGAGGTAGCGGTAGTAGCAGAATCCTGATTTATATATATACAGTATATCTGGCTGTTTCATAATTTTCGAAACACCTGAAAAAATTTACCTAATGATTTTTCGGCCGACATTATAATGATATATTTGTAGAACAAGTATGTTATTATCAAAATTACAGCTGATTTGAAAATTTTGCTTGTTTCCTGAAACCCTTCGGTTTCGTTTTATGAACCATCTAAATCTCGTCACTGCCTTCGGAACTTCAGCGATGTGATTTCCGAAGAGTTAAATGATTCATAAGGTGAACCCGGATTTCGGAAACGAGCAAACTTTTCAAATTTTCAAATCAGCTGTAAACTTTCGTTTGAATACTTGCCCTGCATGTTTGGGTTTAGTTTGTGCGAAAATTTATGGAAAAGGTTGTCCTTGTCAACCAATAAATCTTAAAAAAAAGATTCCAAATATAAAATAACCTTTTTATATATAATAAACTTGTTACACGAATAAGTGCTACTATTAAAAAAGTTAGATACGATCAAGGATTTATCGACTTGTTTAAAATGTGATTTGAGATTCCAGAAAATCATGATTATTAGTATTTATCAGAAAAATGTGGTTTTCTAAAAGTGATGAAGTTTTTCAACTTATAGAAGATCTGTTAACACCTTAAGTGTTTACGAACTGATAGCCTTCTAAATTTTTGCTAGTGAAGATGTTTTGAAAGTATCTTATTTTTGTATTTAACCAGAGATATTTGTACATTATTGTTATAATATATGTAACTAGCTATTATTTTTTTTTCTAATATCAACAAATATTAGTAAATATATAAACTGATTCTTTATATTTATGGATAATTGTTATAGTAAAATGTGATTCAAATTACTTATAAAAATTAGGGGTTTCTAAATGTGGTATGCACGCATATAAAACTTTTTTTATACTAAGTTAATTACCTTTCTAACTTAAGAGACTTTTGTAAAGCTTGTTAAAACACATCTAATAGTGGTTAAAGTGTCAAAATTGGCCTGGTGAGTGCTAAGATATCTTTAAAAAACATTTCTTTTACTATAAACTTTTTTGCAAACAATACAATACTATTGTTTGTAAAGAAGTTTACATAGTAAAAAAAATGTTTTTTAAAGATATCTCAACATCCACAAGCTGATTTTGACACTTTAACCATTATTAGATGCATCTTGACAAGCTTTACAAAAGTTTTTTAAGGTATAAAGATAATTAATATAGTATAAAAAAGGTTTTAAATGTGTGTACGTTGAGGATAAAGCAAGCAACTTTTTCCAATGATCACTTGTACCTAATAATGCAGACATTTCTCAGAGTAGTAACTACATACGGCATTACAGCTATGACGTAACAGTAGTACTACCTTTGGGACATGTTGTCATTATGCCATATGTAGTAATAAGGTAGTATACCGTGAGTACTATCATGTGGATACAGACACATGTGTTTAGATTATATGTACAGTACATATATATTGTCTGAGAATTTTTTTCTTTTATAAACCATATATATATATACATCCATCCTAAATTGCATTTCTGTACCATACAAATGTACTACTTTACTCACTGAGAACTTACCAGATACTATAAATAGTAACATACAGGCCTAAAAGTAACTTTTATTTCAATTTAGCATTGGTCTGTTTTTTTTATTTTTTATTTTATTTTTTATTTTTTTATATTTTATTTTATGTTTTTTATTTTTTATTTTTTTTTCGTTTTGTACTAATTCCTTTTCTTCCGGCTTTGTTAATCAACTATTCAGATTTCTTTGATGTATTTAATCCAGTTATCATCTAGTTTAACTTATTTAAGTTTTTTCAGCACATGCTTGGAATTAGACATGAGTTGAAACTAGAACTTGGATAAGTATTAGTCTCTTTTTCAGTATTATATTTGCTTTTATCTTGTTTTTTTTGGGTTGAACTAACTTTTCTTCCTTGTATGTTTGAGCTAGAATTATTAAAATTTACTTAGACAACATTAAATAGAATTAGAATTGGCATTTTATTATATGCAAGTAATTAAGTAATTGCCACTTGACACGATGTTGACTAAATGTGCTGTCAGTGAAGACAGATTATATAGGTCTTTTATTTCCTTGAAATACGTAAATAATGATTTACCAATGAATAAGAAGGTCTTCCACTTGAAATTTCCTAACGGATTTGT